TGCAGTCTTTGCATTTGTGAGACCTTTGACTTAACAACAAACAGAAAGATAAATGGAGTTGTGAGGCTTCCCCATGAAGTCTGAGTTGTAGTTGTCCTAGTTAAAAAAGGAGCAAAGTATTTGCTGGTGGTTGGAACTTCGTTTCACATTCTTCCTGAATGGTAGACCTTTCACTCGCCCTCTGGGATTGGGGGGAACTTTGGGTCAGAGACAGTCATGTGGAATATAAGGATCTACTTATAGCTTTATAATCTGAGTGGTTGTATATTTGATCCCTCAAGAACATGCAGGGCTCCTTTTGCTTTCAAAAGACTGCATGGGGACATGTTATAAATCTCAGCTACTCTTAGTCTTGTTCTTCTCCCCTAAGGGGAGAAGAATCTATTACCTTGGCAATAGATTTACTTCTTATCTTCAGGGAAAAAGGTGAATTTCCCTCACTGTGTCCTTGGCACCATTAAGAAGTTAGCCAGCGATCTACCAGTTTCTGCATTCACAAAATTCTGGATTTAGAAAGTTCTGATCATTTTGGAAGTCAACTTAGCAATATAATAAAACTTTAATAAAGTCTATTTCCTTTGGTAGTACTCAGGCATGTGCCTTCGCATCTGGAAATGATGCCTATAAAATTAAACTAAACATGAAAAAGGTTTATATACCATAAGGCTTATTTTGCCTTTATAATAGTGAAGAAACAGGAAGAACAGAAGGTAAACTCATATGGGAACAGTCTCATATACTATAATCTATTCATTTGATAAAATATTTTAGTGATTAAAATTGGTGCTTAATTAGAGAATGATATTTATGTCACAGCAAGCATAGAAAAAAACAGGACATACACTCATTTTACTGTGATTACAACACTGGATTTAAAAGAGACAACAGGAATATGGAGATATCAATATACTTTGAGGGAGAGGGGTTTTTTTGGCTTTGTGGGGAGGCCCACCCTCAGTGGTGCAAGGGGGCTACTTCAAACTGCTCCAGGGACTTGCAGTGGTGGAGATCGAAACTAGGGTTCTAGCATCCAAAGCATGTGCTCCAGCCCTTTGAGCTCTTTCCTTGGTCTCTTACCACCTTTTATGTATAGTAGTTAAAGTTTAATGGAGGAGTTTTTTTTCTTTTTTCTATTTTTAGTTTTTCTTTGTGATTGTTTATAGAAAAGTGTAGTGAATAAAAACAGTGGTGTCCAGTAGCAAGAAGACCAGTGTCTTCTCTAACCTGAATAGCTCACTGGCTGATGGAGGCTCAACTGATAATGAGCGACATTGAGTCTATGCTAGTGAAATCCACTGTTTGGGGACATAAACAATGAAATGGTACATGTTGAGCTACAAGGCCAGTGAGTTCAGAAGCAGTACTGGGAGTCTGAGGAGTTATCATGGAAGGAGGCTAGCTTGAGAGAGTTTCAGACAGAGAAAATGGTATTTGCAGAGGCACAAAGTTAGGCCTATGGAATGTTCCAGAAACCTTAATAAGATCACAGTGGTGGGAGGAAAGGGAAGTCAGCATGGAGAAAGTAGGACATGATAAGATGATGATAACTAATGGTGCAAACCCAGTCACAAAATAGGGATTTTATCCCCGGGGCAAGCAGTGGCTGACATGAACAGATTGAAATTATTTATATATAGTCAGTCACTGGAGAATAAGCCTAAGATGAGGCAAGATAGTCTCTGGGAAACCGGCAAGAGAGAGGGGTTTTGTACCAGGTCAGAAATGAAGGTCTGTCTTTCTTGTGTCTTAAGATTACTGTTGGATTGCTGATTTGAGAATTTAAAATACAGTAAGATTGCAATGCTAGAGAGAGTTTTTGTTTTGAAATCTATTGACAAGAATTTTAGTTTTCACTTTAAAGTATTTTAATTGCGCAGCATAGATTTTAGAAATATTTAGGACAGTCTAAGAAATCCTGGCACAACCTTGGATCCTTAGGTGAACATCATCCTATAAAAATGTTATGTATCCTTTCAATTGTGTAACCCCGAAGTGCTATAGTTACGCATTGAAGGAATGATGGTGATAAGCAACTGGACAAATAGAGTCCTCAAGAAAAGGGGGTGGGAGCGGGGGAGAAAAAGAAACATTTGGTTCATGAGTTCTTTGAAATGCAAGAACTCCAAAACCTGGCATGGGCCAAGTTCTGGCATGCAGCAAGTCCTCGGGGAATCTTACTGAGTGAATGAATGAATGTATGAATGAACATGTAAACTACTAGATTTAAAACAATGTTTGAGAATTTTGTTATTGTTGTTGTTGTTTTCTCATTTTATCATTTTGTTTCCTGGCAACTGCTTATACCTCACTCACACCTGCAGTTGTCCCGAGAAAGGGTCAGAAGTGGAAAGAGATGGTCCCAAACGGCTGCTTTTTAAGTACTGGTCATTCAAAAAACTGTATGTCTTCAAACAAAAATTTGGGAACTTGGAGCCTTGCCTCCTTTTCCTGAAAAACTGGCAACTCAGAAAACCTTTATTCAAATATTTGTCATAAATGCTACTTGGTTTAAATGTAGGCTGTGACTAAACATAACTTCATAAATATGCATTTACAATGCTTATTGTAAGCATTTCCAAAAGCCAAAATTGGAATAGACCACATTCCCAGAAAAGGGAAAGAAAGCACACTTGGGAGAATTAATGTGTTTTAGGTACTATGGTGACCCCCTTTTACAAATCACAACCTTGACAGAGTTGAATAATTTATCCAGTCTGGTGGTTAATGTCAAACCCTTGAGTTGAACTTAGATATGTCTAGCTTAAAAGTGCATGCTCCTTATACTATCCTTTTCTTTTTGTTTGTTTTTGTTTTTTGTTATTTATGTCATAAAACAAATAAGCCAAATTTCATATAGGTCTGTGGCAGTGAAGCACATTTAGACAAGTCCTTGTTATTAAGGCTGCAACAAGCAGAAATCCCTTGCAAAAAGATAATAACCATAAATTGTTACAGGACAGAAAGAAAAATAAGTATTTTGAACTTGATTTCTTCTTCCTTCTCACTTAAGTCTGGTGTTAGCTATCCACTTATTTGTTGGGATTTTTGAGCTGCCCTGGTAGTGGTCAGGGGTTTTTCCTTTCTTTGTGCTCATAAGTGACCCCTGGCAGGCTCTTGTTGGGCCATATACACTGCCAGAGATCAAACTGGGTAGTTACATGCAAGGCCTTTACACTGGTGTTATCTCTCTGACCCTTACTCATTTTTAAAACTTGTCTTAGTGAGTAAAGCTAGCATGAGCGTGGACAGTTTTTTCACTAATGTTGTTTTCAAAATCAGCTGACCGCAGGATTTCACCATTACAGTGAGATGAATATCTCTCTCTTCTTTTTAGCTACCTCTGATGCTGAATTTTTGTCCTCATAGATGCTTTCTATCTTGACATGCTTATTGGGATGGGATTGAGCCTTTTCGCATTACTGCTGATTGGCCCCATAGTCTGATTTCTCCCTCTCACATTTGTCACAGTTGATAGAGATGTTCCCATCTGCTGGACATATGGATTGTTACTGCTCGACAAATCTTTGTTCCAGTCCAACCCCAGAGAATATTCGGGAATTGTCTTGTAAATTCCCCCTCTCTCCTGTACCTTCATAGCTTGGCTGTAGCAGCAATGGAAATCAGTCTTGAAATCTAATTAATGACTTCTATCCTCCTTCCCCAACTCAACAAGGGACCTCCAGAGCCCAGAACTGGGTCTCCTTCATCTTGGTAGGCCCCTCCTCCATCTCTGACTAGGAATGCTCAGGGCCTCACACAAAAGATTCACCTGTCAGCTATTGACTGTCTTGAGATATTTTTGTTGGCTGAACCAACCTGTCACTCCGATGATTCTATGCATACTGCTAATGCAGTCTTGAAAATAGATAAATGTAGACAGTACATTCTGCACTGCTCTTGATGGAACTTCATTACGGAGTTGTTTCAGTGCTGGTTTTATGTCTCTTAGATGAGATTCCCCTATTATTCTAACCACAGTTTATATAAATAAAACCAGCCATAGTTAACACTTTTTAAGAGCTTTTAAGAGTTAGTCATCTGGATTTTTCTTAGATACTTCCAGCATGGATAAACAGGTTGTGGTTAGCTTCATAAACAGTGGTTCCACTAAAAGTAATAGTTTTGTCTTCCAGTTAGACTGCAGTTAAGGATTAAATAGCTTTCCTCTAGTTTAAGCAGGGGCATTTTTGGAGCCTTCCAGGAAGGTAGGGCTATCATAGAATAGTGTGATTTTTACTGTTAATTTTTTTTGGGGGGGTCACACCCAGCGATGCTCAGGGGTTACTACTGGCTCTGCACTCAGGAATTACTCCTGGCAGTGCTCGGGGCACCATATGGGATGCTGGGAAAAGAACCTGGGTTGGTCGCGTGCAAGGCAAACGCCCTACCCGCTGTGCTATTGCTCCAACCCCTTTACTGTTAATTTTTAGGATACTTTCAAGACCCCTGTCACTTTCAGAAGTGTTTAAAACTCAAGATAGTTACACCTCTAAATTCCCATCAAAATTGTGGTGGTGAATTTGTGCTTTCTGACATTTTGATTTTCTATTAACTGCAGCTCTCTCTCTCTCTCTCTCTGTTTTTTGGTTTTGGTTTTGGTTTTGGTTTTTGCTTTGTTTGGGGGGCACAATCAGTGATACTCAAGGGTTACTCCTAATTCTGCACTCAGGAATTAATCTTGACAGTATTTGGGGGACCACATGAGATGCCAAGAATTGAGAAACCTGCAAGGCAAGAGCCCCTTGCTATACTCTCTCTCCGGCCCCAGATAGTTTACATCTTGACTAAGTTAGGCATGAACAGTGTAATGTTGAGACTTCTGTTGAAAATGGTGAAATGTCACAAAAGGTGGGTTCTCCTCTGCAAGAGAATGGAGCAAAGGACCTGCTAGACCTCCTAAATCCATTCATACAAAAATTACTAGAAAATTCTCTCACTGACGGACAGCCCTGTTCAGTCTGAAGTTCATGACTCTTAATGTTCCTTTGGACCTTTTTCAGGTAAGCCGTAACTTTGAGCTGGTTGGACGGGTGAACTTGGACCAGCTGGAACAGATGAAGGAAAAGATGGAGAGCTCCAGCAGTGAGGATGAGGACAAGGAAGAAGAGATGAACAGCAAAGCTGATGAAAGAGGTTGGTGTCATCTCTACCCTCTGAGTCCCAGATGGCATCTCACATAGGGTGGTTGTTGCAGGAGGGACATGTGGAATGACCCTTTGATTAGTCCATGAACTAAACATGAACTAAACTAAACAGGATTCATGCCATGGATCCTGTCTTAGGATACTGTTCCCAGCTTTGAAAACTACCAAGTAAGACAGGTTCTTTCTGCGGACAGAGTGGTAGTACAGTGGGTAGGGCACTTGCCTTACGTGCGGTTGACCCAGGTTTGGTCCACAGCATCCCATATGACCCCCTGAACATCACCAGGAGTAATTCCTGAGTGAAGAACCAGGAGTAACCCCTGAGCTTGGCTGGGTGACCTCAAAACAAAAAGCAAAAGCACACGCCAAAACAGATTATTTTTCTCTAATGGTAGATAGATATTGTTCAGAAATAAGGTGGGGTTTTGCTTTCATGAAGCAATCTCACATCTAGAGGAATGTTTAGAATAAAAACAGATAATAAGACATAACAGAAAAGCTATGTGAATGCCCTTCCCGGTATTTGAAATTTCTCCTTTTTTTCCTTTAGCGGACCCAGCTATTGGTCTGCCTAAATATGACTGCAGTTCTGCGGTCTCCTAGCTGTGCTCTAAGCTTACTCCTGGCTCTGTGCTTGAGGGACTGTGTGTGGTGCTGGGAATTGAACCAGGGCTGGCGGCTGCATGCCAGACAAGCACCTTAATCCCTATACTATCTCTTTGACTTCTATGACTTTTAGGCTTATAAATTATTTTATCTCTTTGTGCATTCACCATCCATAAAATTATAACAAGAATAATGATATCTATATCTCAAGACTGTTGCAAACTTAAATGGATCAGCATTAAGACATTTGGTTGCTAGAACATCTAAGAAATGGCAGCATGGCTACCGGACAGTTAACTCAAAGAGCTGAGCACATGCTTTGTGTGTGTGAGACCCAGGTTTGATAGCCTGTAATCAGTGTTCTGTGAGCACCTCTGGCGGGGGTGGGGGTGGAAGGATTGGGGGGAACACCTAGGACCTGGGCTTTGAAAAAGCTGGGCTGGAAGTCCTCGTAGTCATCTTGGTTGGAGTTCAAGGGTCAAAATAATAATAATAATAAAAAGGTAAAAGGTAAAGGCCCTCCCGTTGATCGTCGATTTGCTCGAGTGGGCCCAGTAACGTCTCCATCATGAGACTTACTGTGTTTGGCATATCGAATTGTTGCTACTGTGTTTGGCATATCGAATACGTCACGGGTAGCTTGCCAGGCTCTGCCGTGTGGGCGAGATTCTCTCGGTAGCTTGCCGGGCTCTCCGAGAGGGGCGGAGGAATCGAACTCGGGTCGGCCATGTTGGCCGCTTGTAAGGCGAACGCCCTACCCGCTGTACTATCGCTCCAGCGATAATAATAATAATAATAACATTTCAATGATGCAGGAAAAATACACTGTACAAATAATAATTAGTAAAATACATTTTACAAATGAGAAAATAAATGCCCCCTCCCTCCCCAATTTAAGAGCTGCTTCCCAGTAAACAGTACTGGAACTAAGTTTAGGACTTGCAGTTCTGAGGCAAGGTATCCGTTAACCCATATACCACTTCCCCAGCCCTTCGCAGTAGAGAATGCCCCTCAGTAACAGGAATCTAGCCCTGAATTCTGACAATTGAGGAGTCAGGAAGGATTCAACTTCAAGGACTACTATTATATAATGTCAATGTTTTTTCTACTTGTCCAGTGAATCCTAAGAAAATCTGTTTGGGGGACAGGTCCCTCAGGCTGTCCTCTCACTGACCCGTCCCCATCCCCATGTCACCCTGATACCCCAACAAGAGCACATAGGTTTGCAGAGTGAAGCTTCAGTTTGACCCAAGATGACCACCAGGACTTCCAACCCAAGTGCACCAGCTCTTTCTAAGCCCCAGGTGCCCACCATCCACCTGAGCCAATAACATTGCCCCCTGTAAGTTGGTGGCTCTTAGAACGCTCCACGTTCATTACACGGTGCTGTCATAATCCATTTCTTACAAGGAAAACCACCATGCTCTCAGAAGCAAGATGTCTAAATTTCCTTTTGCTTTGATTATTTTTTTTTTAAACCTCACCAATATGTTCTTAGCGATGAATTGTTTCACGTCTGTGCAGTTACTGTAGTTTTCCGGGAGAGAATGCTTTTGACAGAAGGCACAGAGACTCCTTTTTCATGAAGCCCTGTATCCTGGACTTCTTCTGGAAATCACTTCTTCTCCCATTGCATAGTTGGCCTTAGTCCTTTCCAAAGCGGAGCAGAGGCAGTAAGCTAGGTAGGGGTTAATGTGAGTCTGCTGAAAGAAGCTCTTGGGAAACTAGAAGAGAGAAACTGGCAGTGAAATGTGCAGCCACGAAGGCAAAGCTCGTGACTTGCCCGGCTGGGCTGCCCCTTTCACGTGAGCACCACCATCTCCAGTTGTCTGCACGGAAATTCATAGCATCTGATTTCTTCTCCGTGGGCAGTATAGGCTCTACCTTCAGGAAGAACCTGAACCCCAAGGGAGGGAAACGTCTTGGGAGTGGAGAAGTTCATACTCCTCAGAGGCTGGGGGGGTTCCCTTGAGTAACTTCAAGTAACATTCATGGGAATTAGAAGCCTGAGTCTTCCCGCCCCTTTCATGATCGTTGAAATAACAGCCTCCTTTGTCTCGGCTCTTTTGAATAGACCTAGAATCCATTTCCCATCATCTAGGTATATCCTTGCCAACCAGAAGAAACAGCACACAATAGCCTCTGGTGTTCTTGCCAGACCTTCTGTCTTCCAGGAGTACAGAGAGAGGGAGGTGGCTTTAGGGGCGCTCCCTGCGGCTGATGGAGAGCTATTTGATATGTGACAGGCACTGATGGGCCTCTTCTTTGAGGATGAAACAGCATGAGCCATTGGAAAGAATAGATGAGGGGGTTTCACGTTTCAAGGGTAAAGGAGGAAACGCATGGGGGAGCTTGCCCCTCTTTGGTCATGTAGATGGCCATCGGGCACCCTGGGTTCAGGGGGTGATAGCTAGCCCATTCCCAACATCCTTCCCCAGTACAAAAGCTGAAGAAATGGTTGGCGGTGGTCACCAGGGGTCCTGCCTGGGAAGCTCAGAGGGGATTTGAAAAAGAAGTCAGGCATGAAGAAATCAAAATGAACCGCAGCCGAATCCTTCCCCACCCCCTCTCATTATGCAGTGGGGAGGAGTCAGGAAGGCATGCTGTTGATTTCTTGCCCAAGATAATCCCTGCTAAGGAATTAATGCGCAGAGCAGATGGTGCTGTCTCATTTCCAATGAAAAGAATCAAGGAAGATAGTCTGTGCAATTATTTTTAATGGCTTGTGTGGTGATCTTCTTAATTTGTGAGAAAATGTTCCATCTTTTGTTCAAACTGGTCCCATTCACGTCACTTTTTGTGCGGAAGATTAAGGCAGCACTGAGACACCTAGCCTGTTAGCATCGTCCTGAGGATTTTCCTAGATGGGAGCGTTGTCCTGGTGCAATGCTTGTGTGCAGAAGCACAGTCTCGGAGAGGTGGAGGTGGCAGCATATTCCTGGACAGTGCCCTCACTTTGCAATGCGGCTTTAGAACTGCCTAGGTCTTGCTGTGTAATACGCACAGAAAGCCCCGGCCCTCTGGGATAATGAAAGACATATGGGCCGGAGCTCAGGAGGACACAAAGGCCATCGAGTCACTTGCCTTGGAGTTTGCTAGGAGGCGTGGCTTGTGTGTCATCAAGAGATCGCTCCACATTTATCAGATGTCTAACCTGTGCCCAGTGCTGTGGCAGGAACAAATGAGGATAGGCACTACTCACTGTTTACAAGAACCTTGTCTAGAAATGTTGGTAAATGCCCCCATCAGGAGTACTTCCAGCAGAGGCTGAGCAGCTGGCCAGGCTGGCTCACTGAGGACCGTTTTCCATACACTAGAGTCGCAGCGTCCACCATGGACATGTATGATAAGTTCTCTGCTTGTTGAAGCTCCTTCCATGTCCCTTAGCACTTCCGGGGTGTTGATTATGATGTTTATGACGCGTGCCCACGAGTCAGGAGCCCTCAGCGTGCCTGAGGAACCAGGGGATAAGGCAGCCTGAGGTCTGCTGTCCAGGGTTGAGCTAGTGAGCAAGGAGGAAATGAATAGCGGCGGTACCCTGAGGTGCTGCCGGAGCATCAGAATAAGGAGACGTGGGTAAGACCCAAACCCCACCAAGATGACTTGGGAAGGGATGCGAGGTTCTTTGGACCAGAAAGACTCAGGTTATTGGTGCTGGATGCCACTTAGGGAGGTGACGAGAGGAAGCTTGGGCCTGAGAAACCAGCCAAGAGAGCCACCCCCTGAGGGGGTGAGAGAATGGATCATGAAGACGGATGTCATTTCCACCAGTGGGTTTATAAATGAAGGTAAGTGGTGCTTGGTTCGTTCCAGATGAGCACTGGCTAACGTCTTCAGCCTTTCCAAGTCCTTAGCACACAAGTGACACTTCTGCTTTTTCTCTTCGCAGACCTGATGCACTTTGCTGACCGAGGGGCCCCTCTGAACACTGAGAAGCGTTTTCCCTGTGAATTTTGTGGACGGGCATTTTCCCAGGGCTCCGAGTGGGAGAGGCACGTGCTGAGACATGGCATGTAAGTTGCAACACAGTCGAGAATTACCCAGAGTGTGAGGGACAGAGATGCCAGGGTTTTAAGTGACAGTGCTTAGATACCCCCTTCCTCCTGTCAGTTGCATGAAAAGAGAGGCCACATTGTAAGGAATAAAGTTGCTCTTTTTCTCTAGGTTTTTTAGCAGACACCTAGACACAAGTCATATGAGGAAAAGGCATCTTTACATAAAGATGACCTGTTCAGAGAGAGAGAAGTGCCTGCCATAGAGGGGGGTGGGAGTGGTGGCGGGTGGGGGATGAAGGCGCGATGGAAGGGAAACTGGGAACACTGGTGCTGGGAAGTGTACACTGATGGACGGATGGATGTCGGAATATTGTGTGATGACAGAAACCTAATCATGAACAGCTTTGTAAGAGTCTATCTCACAGTGATTCGGTAAAAAAAATTTAAAAAAAAAAGTGAGACGGGCATGAAGTCTGTTGATATCTAAAAATTGGAAGGAAAAATGAGTTGCTATTCATGCAGCAAATTTAGTCTTGTCTATGTTCTTAAGATATTAAGCACTAGGAAAATAAAGTTTTCTCTTTCATATTAAAAAAAGGAAATGACCTGTCCTGCCCAAGGCCTCCTGCAGACCTGAGTGTTATCCTCAGCCCATGTTTCCTCAGCTCTCATGAGCATGGCATTCTTGAGTGAGCATGGACCTGGGGTCAGGGGAGCTGGCTACTATCCTGCCTCGGGGATGACTCATTCCCTTGATGACCCTGAATGTCCCCGTGAATCTCGGCCCCTGGATCAGAACCACCTCCTCCTGCTGCCTTCTTTCAGGCAGGCGGCAGCTGAGCCGTGAAGCACTTTCAAGATCCTTAAACTGTCCCCTGGACAAGGCATTCAGCCCACCAGACCAGAGAGAATGTGGGAGTCAGTAATTTCCCATCAAGTAACCCTGACACTGGAACAACATCCACCTCAGACACCAAGCTTTCTGAGACATGTGTTGATTCCATGCTCAGGGTCTCAGATTTTTGCTTTTTCGTTGTTGATTTCAGAGCTCAGGACAGCTTGCAATGCCAGGAATGCAATCCAGGCTTGAATTCCACATGCAAAGCATGAAGACTTAACCCTTTGAGCTATCACTCTGGCCCTCCATTGACTTCATTCTTGGTTTGCCAGATTTCGGACCCAGTAGAAGAAGGGATATAAATCATTTCGTCTGGAGACAAAGCATTGTGTGATCCAAATGTGGTGTAATGGTCTCATTTTTGTAGGTTTGAGTCTTTATAAAATAGCACCAATACACATCTGGACCCTAAACGTGGACAAGATCACTCTTTTCCAGTTTATTCCTGTGTTGGTGGATTTTCTTCAAGGAAACTCCCAGGTCTTTCTTGGATCAAGGAAATAAGGACAGGTGAGTTTTGTTTAATGAGAATAGGTATACTCATCAGCCTCTCCTGTCCCTGTTTTTCCAGGGCATTGAATGACACCAAGGAGATAAGCAGAGCCGAGATCCCGCTGAATCAAAGTGTAGAAGACAGTATTCAGATGCCCTCTATAGAGGAGAAGGAAACTGACCAGGCCATCGGGATAGACTTTTCCCTCAAGGATGAAACCGTAGCCATCTGTGTAGTAGCTGCTGACAAATCTCTCTTGGAGAATGCAGAGGCCAAAAATGAATAAGCGTTTGGTGAAGTTCTTAAATCAAACCTTACTTGAACCATGATTTAAAAAAAAAAAAAAAGTTGGGGTGGGGGGAGTGGCTTGGGCTGAGAAGTGGGGAGGGGGTGGGAGGGGCAGAACAGAGAAGACAGAAAAAGCTGCTTTTTAGGACTGAACAATCTATTTTCAAAGCACTGGTACCTGTGTGAGTGAGTTGTGTAAATTAAAGTTATTTAAATGGTTGGACGATGTGGCTCTTTTCCATCACTACACCTCTTCTTCCGGACCTTCAGCATGGACATTTCACTGGTTGCGGAATAGGGAGGCCCCAGGGACATGGTGCTCCAGGGCGGTCTTGGACAGACTGTGTGCAAACAGAGGCTCCGTCACATAGAAGACTTCTCTTAGGGGAACTTTTGGACGCACGCCTTTCAGTGCGTTTTTCTAGTTTTAATACCTTAAGCTTTTTCAAGACCTAACTGCAGCCGCTTTGGGAGAAAAAACAAAAAACAAAAAACAAAAACAAACAAAAAAAACCAGAAAACAAACTGCTTTGCATAAAACAGTCACCTGTTTCCTAGTACCTCAAACTTAACCAAGGGAATTCTCTGCATTTGTCAGTACTACCTGTCCTCATCATGGTTAAATGTAGAGAGAACTGCTGGGCAAGATGGTGAATGGAGAAATAAAAATTAAAAAAAAAAAAAAACTTAAAAAAAAAACAGAGTTTTAAAGAAAAGAACACAAATTGTGCTTAAAATCCCCACGTGGGTTTTATTTCTTAAAATACTGTGATTTTTTTAATTATTTTAGTAAAAAACAAGACAAAAAAAAGAAACAGACTTTAATTATTAGATAACTGTTTGTGAACTGTCATCCTTTATTCCAGGTAAGCTGTTTATTAGTGTTCAACTATAATTTAGAATTTAGTAGATTCATGTGAGCTAATTTTTAAGGTGACTGTGGAATTTTGTTTGCCACATGTTTCTTTTCTATCAATTTGAGTGTTACAAACACAGCACAATTCAGTTTTTCATATAAATTGTTTTCTGTGTGTGTGTTGTTACTGTTGTTTTAATTTGGGGTCAAGGGAGATTTAGATTTTTGTGAATAGGAATGTTTTTATTTTAAACATGATAATAACAAAGAAGTTAACTTTTTTTTTTAATTTAACTAAAGAACCAAACTTTTCGGCACAGCTATGCAGCTTGTGGACCAGATGAGGAAGTCCTCTTCATCCTTTCGTTGCTTGTCAAATTAACACATTATGTGTCTCACACAAATAATTTTTTGTTAGGATGGGCTGGCTTTGAGTGTGATTTTTAAATCTGTGTTTTGTTTATGTTTGCATTGTGTTTGGGGGTTTGCTTACTTACTTCTTTTGGCGGGGAGGGACAGGGCAAAGGGACATGCTAGAATCCTATCCCTTTGAGAGTGGACAGGAAATACTTATATCCTACAAGGAGCCTGGAGAACTGCTTTTTTTCTCTCTTTTTTTTCTTTTTTCTTTTCTTTTGTTTTTTTGGATCTAACTGCCAGCTGCTCTCTTACCCAATATTACCTTTTTCAGGACAGAGCAGCTTAGATTAAATCTAAGTCGACATTTATAATATGTTCTGCTTATGAACAGAGGGTTTTGCTCCAAAAAAAATTAGAAAAGAACTTTCCTTGAAGCCTAGGTTTTAGAAGCTTGTGTGCTCACGTGCTTGGATATAGGTATGGATGTGAACGTGTGAGAGCGGTGTGTGTGTGTGTGTATGTGTGTGTGTGTGTGTGTGTGTGTGTGTGTACGCACGCGCGCACACGCTTCCACACGCGTGCGTGTTCTTTGATTTTCATGTAATTTTTGTTTTGTTTTTTAACATGGAAGGGTTTGGGGCGGGGGAGGGAAAAAAGGGAAATGGAATTGCAAAGATGACAGTGTCCCACACAGCTTCAAATAAAATCCATGGAAAGATACTGCATTTGTGGAATAAGTGCTTACTTGAAAAGCATGTTTTTCTTTTATTTTCTTGCTGTTACAAACTTTTATTTGTAAGCCATTTGTTTTAATTTAATAATTTTTAGGGATGGAGAGCCATCGTGTGGAAACCCAAAATGGGGAAAGTGTGATCTAAACAGATTTATTTTGTGTCCATATTTGTTTTTAATTGGATTCATTTCAAATGTATTAAACAGTTCCATACCTGGATTGGGTGTTTGTAATGGTTACCAAAAAGCAAACAAAACAAAAACAAGGGGGAAAAAAGGAGAGAAAGAAAGAAAGAGGAAAAAAGAAAATAATTGTGACATGCTTTTATCACTACTTTATTTTTCAAATAACATGTAAATATTGTAATCCATTGGATTTTGTTTTGCTAACCTGTTAATAAAAATATGGGACCATTATCCTTTTAACAAGGCTAGAATGTCATTTTTTTCTTTTTCCAAACATACCTGATATTTTGTGGCCGCACATTTTGGATGCATTATTATAATTCTGTTGACTGTAATGACATAGAATTTACATTTTTTTGTTGCTTAATTTATACAGAGGACATTTTTTTCAGAGCTTGAGAGAAGAAAATAAATAGCAAAATGATAACCTATTGACTCCAATAGTCAGTGTCTTCTGCTACTTGATAAAAGATAGGGAGATCCTGAGTTTTTGAAGCCAAGGGTTTAAAAAAACAACAAAAACACACACGTAGGTTATTCAAGTTGTTTGCAACATACATTTTGTAACGAAATGTGAGAAATTAATAAAGAATTTTTTTCACATGTGTCTGTGTGCATCTGTTGTAGATTCTTTACAGATATGGCTACAGGTATGAAATGCTGAAATTATACAGCATCACCTTTCAGGCCATGTGCCTGAGAGACTTTTTAAGTCATGGAATCCACACAGGCATAGAAAGCAAAGGTAAAATTGAGGTGAGATGTGACCTGGAGTTTTAAATGTTACTATTTCTGCATCAGAAAGTTATCACCAACTGGGGGAATTTCATGGAGGGGACATTTTCCAACAAAAGATCTGAACCAAAGTGAGTACAGGAAGCTTCCAAAGAAGGAAATGGCAGGGATGAAATGTCACCCAGAGACCCTGAATTCATGAGTAGTTATTTTAAACTATAAGTCACAACTACTGCCATAAACTTATTGTGCATCCTACACCAGAAATTACCGTCTTTAACTTATTTTTAGAGCTACTCTGTTAGAAGTCACAGGAAAAATTAATAGTCATGAAATCTAAGAGAGTAAATTAAAATCATTAGCTCTGATTGTTAAACTCAGAGCTGATTTATATGGCACTATCACAAGTGTCAGAAAAATTATTCCAATCACTTGTCCAGGGTTAATTCTGGAAACTTGGTTCTTGTTTTCAATTTCTTAATCCCCTTTCACCAAAGAAAATTTGTTTTAACTTAAAATTTTGTGTAAGAAACATTTGCAGAAAACAAACATCAGTTCAAAGAAAAATAGAGCACAGCAGAAAGTAATAGTAGCAGAGAATTTATGTGTGTGTGGGGTGGGAGGAGGAACCCACAGATTTGGCTCTGAGCTTCATGGAGTAACTTAGTAACTCATTAAATATTCCGGAAATACTCAACCTTTTCAGGAGCTTCAGGTTGAAAAATTTAAATATCTCCCCTCATAGCCCATCAAATATTTCATGAACAGTATTTTTACTGAGTTCATGTCTAATCCATACTCCCACTTACTTTTATGGAGAAGTGAACTGAATGTTCTTTTATGGTCAGGGCTATGGCAAGGCAATTTCTTAGCATGATAGAAATAAATGTCTAGGGGTAGAGATGAGGCTCAGTGATAGAGCTGTTGCCTTCCATGTGACACCCTTGGTTTGCTTTTCTGCATCACCCAAAGGGGTGGGGAGTGGGGGGGTTTGTATAATTCTTATACGGATTCCCTAGGGACCCATCAGGGCTATCCATTGTACTGGCGATTCAAAGGCAAGCTCCCCATCTCAACAAAACCCCCAGCCCATTGCTGAAAGCTTGGAACTGACCCTCACCTCCCTCATCAGGAAATAACATGTATCCTTCCTAATCTTCATGGGGCTGACCTGGTTGCATAGCCCCTCTGCCTGCTATGGGCTAAGAACTCTATGACTCAATCAATTGGGGTGTTCTTAAGGGTCCCAAAAGTTGGAAGCATGCCACCAACCAGAACTTGCAGAAGTGCCATGCAGTAGAGACAGAAGCTCCATTTTTGGGAAAGCACAGGATGGATGCTGGACCCAAGTTCCACACACTGCACCAACCCTTTTGCGCAAACACTTGGTACTAACCACCAGCACAGCCAACAAGTTTACATGGCTTCTATTTTCTAATAACTTGTGAGAGCAGAGATGCTTAGTGAAGCGGCTCCCTTCTTTTGGACTAGGTTTTGGCCGGGGCTGGGTTATTGACTCACCTCTGCTGATGCCAGTGGCCGGAGAATAGGAGAACCTTAGCTGAGGTCACTTCCTGTTCTGAGAGCAGACAAATTCAGGAGGCCCAAGAGAAGTTGGTTTCTTACCGTCTTTAGCCCTAAGTTTCACCAAAAAAAATTACTCCAGGATGTGTGACTTGCTTGCAGCTGTCCCATTTCAGGGAGAAGGGGACAGCAGTCAACCACAGAGACCAGAAGATGCTAGAAGGCTTGTGTTCATCCTTTCCTGAAAATGTCAGCTCCTTTCCCAACACCCCGCCCAGCACATGCTGCTCCCTCTGCTTCAGGGTTGTAGCTTCTCTTCTCTCTGGGAAATTCCCTGCCCTTAAAGCCTCCGCCTAAATGTCCCTTCTGATGGGAAGCCTTCCCTGACTTCCTTCACATCACGTGTTGGGGACACGTTGGTCAGCCTTCATTAGCACCTGCCCTGTCTTTCTAAACATTGATTGAAGACTCTCCCCACCCCCCACCCCAGCCCCTCGGTTTTTCAGCCGCCAAGCCACATTGCTGTCAGATGCGCTAGCCTTTTTAAATTCAAATATATTCCTGTTGATACCAAGTGTTAGTTCTCATCTGATTTGGCATCAATGTTACATTTTCTCTCTGAGCCCCGAGATTGCTTTTTTAAATATC